GCTGGGCAGGCAGCACCGGCACCAGCACCAGCACCACACCTCTCCATGGCACAGCCAAACCCCACACAGGGCACAGCCCACACCTGCCTCCTGGCACCACCAGGACTATCCCTGGATGCTCCGGGTGCTCCATGGTCCCAGTGCCTCCCATCTCCCCCAGGGCTCTCGGGGTGCCACGGGTGTCCCTGCTCTGACTGTCACGGGGCTGTGGCACTGACTCAGTGCCTGCTGGGGGGGACCACGGAGACCCTGTGGGTGGCCCTGGGGTGGCCCAACAATGAGCACCCACTGCAGGGGGGTGCACCCACCCCATCCCCCCAGGGACAGCCCCGGCTGGGCCGTGGGTGCTGCACACGTGGGACAGCAGAGCAGGCGACGTGTGAGTGGTGCTGCAGTGTCTGTGTGTGTGTGTGTGACATGTGTGTGAGTGTGACATGTGTGTGAGTGTGACATGTGTGTGAGTGTGACATGTCTGTGTGTGACATGTCCGTGTGTGCATGTGTGATGTGTCTGTGTGTGAGTGATGTTCCTGCAGGGCAGTGAGCAGGGGGGGCAGTGGGGTCAGTGCAGGAGGGAGTCATTGGGGTCACTGTAAGGGGGTCACTGGGAGTCACTGCGTGCAGGGGGGTCAGTGGGGTCACAGCAGAGGGGTCAGTACAGGGGGGTCCATGGGCCATGCAGTGCCCTCGCTGTGCAGGGCAGCCCCTGCAGCGCCAGCCCGGGGGTGTGGCTGCAGGGCCGGCGGGTGCAGGACCGGGGGGTGCAGTGGGTGCAGTGGGTGCAGTGGGTGCAGTGGGTGCAGTGGCCCCGCAGAGGGGATTGGGCCGGGCTGGTTCCGTCCCCGCTCTGTCCCAGCAGCTGCCAGTCCCACTGCCTCCTGAAACTGCTCCTCTGACACCCAGACCCCGTTAACCTTCGTTAACCCCGGACCCTCGTTAACCCCACATCCCCGTTAACCCCGGACCCTCGTTAACCCCGCATCCCCGTTAACCCCGGACCCTCGTTAACCCCACATCCCCGTTAACCCCGCACCCTCGTTAACCTCGCATCCCCGTTAACCCCGGACGCTTTTTAGCCCCGGAGCCTCTCTAGCCCCGGACCCCCGTCCCCGTCGGACCCTCGCTATGCCCGGCAGCCCCGTTATCGTCGGACCCCCGGCAGCCTCGGTAGTGCCGTTATCCCGGACCCGCGTTAGCCCCGATGTCCTCCGCAGTCCCGATATCCCCGGCACTCCCGTTATCCCCGTTATCCCTCTCCGGGCGGTCCCGCTGTCACCGCCCCCGCCCTGGTCCCGACGGGCGGCTCCTCCCGCCGCCCCGACCCGGCCCCGGGACCCCTCGGGACCCCTCAGGACCCCCGGCCCCGGGACCCCCCGGCCCTCCCCGGAGCCCCCCCGAGCCCCGGCCCCGCACTCACCCCGGGGCATGGCGCGGCGGCGGCGCGGGGCCGGGGCAGGGCGGCAGGAGGAGGGCGAGGACAAGCAAGAGGAGGATGAAGAGGAGGAGGAGGAAGTCTGCGGCCGCCTCCTCCCGCCGCCCCGGGCGGTCCCGCGGAGAAACTTCCCCCGCCGCGCCCGCCCCCCCGCCCGCCGCTTCCTTCCTCGGGGTCCCGGGGGAGCGCAGCCCCCGCGCCCACCGCCGGTCCCGCGGGACGCCCCCCGCGGGGCTGCCCCGGCTGCGGGGACCGGCACGGGGCTGCGGGGACCGGCACGGGGCTGCGGGGACCGGCACGGGGCTGCGGGCAGAGGCTGCCAAGGGTTCGGGGCAGGACTCCCGCACACCCCCGCACCCCACCGGACCATCCCGAGCAGGGACCTGCAGCCCCCGGGGCCGGGCTGGGAGCAGAGACCCTCGCCCGGCTGCCTGGCCCCCACCCCTGGCACTCACCCGTGACCCCACTTACGACACGCCCCACTGGGGGCTCCCTGGGGAGCTGGGGGGGTGAAACCCCCCACCCTCGGGCTGCCTCGGGGTCGGGGTGGGGACCAGATGCCCTGGGGGCGCCTGGAGTCACCCTGCTGCACCCCGAGGGGAACGGGGGGTCCTGCGGCTGCTGTGGAGGCAGAACCCCCCCGAGCAGAGCCTTGTCCTTCTGGACCAGGGCCAGAGGAGCCCCAGGTGCTCTGAGAGTCCCCACAAGGGCCGAGACCCCCAAGCTGGGGGTCCCTGGGGCAGGAGGGGCTCTTGGGGGTCCCCCGGGGCTGGAGGCAGTTCCCTGGGCAGTGAGTGGCCTGTCCCCATCTTCATCCCGAGGTCTGCAGGTGTGGGACCCCCTGCTCTGTCCCCCACACCAGCACAGGGGACCGGGACTGGGACCCAACTGGGAACCGTCAGCCTGGAGATCCCCAACCCCCTGTTCCAGTCCGGGCACTGCCGTGGCACTGCGAGGTGCCCGCCCTGCAGCCTGGGACCCCCATCCCGCACCCTGGGGCACCTGGCTGACCACGGGCACCCCCTCTGGGAACAAGGGTGACACTTCCAGGAGCAGGGTGGGGCAGGGGGCGACCTTCCCGTGCCCCCCACGGGCTGGTGGGCTCCGGGCAGCGGTGGCACCGGTACAGCAATGGCACCAGGAGCGTGAGGCCCTGGAGGTGTCAGAGCTCTCAGGAGGTGCCAAAGTGTCCCCGGTCCCACTGCGAGTGAGAAACCACGTGGTTGGGCGTCAAAACAGCTCTGCCCAGTGTGACGGAGTGCTCTGAGGGGTTGGGGTGCTCTGACAGTCTGGGTGCTGTGACACGTTGAGGTGCTCTGAGGCGTTGGGGTGCTGGGATGTGTTGGGATGCCGGGATGTGTTGGGGTGCCCTGACGAGCCCAGGGCGCTGGGATAAGGTGGGGAGCTGTGACAGTCCGTGGTGCCGTGGCGCTCCCCCCGGTCTCGATGCGGTGTCCGGGTCACCCATCCAGGCTCCGCCCGGGCCCGACCCTGCTGAGCTTCCCCGCCCGGCGTGGCTGCTCCGCCCCCTCTGTGACCGCCAGGGGGCGCTGCGCCCCAGCAGCGCGCGCGGGTGGGCGGCAGCAGGGGCGTGGTTAGCCGCCCGCCCCCGGTTGGCCCCGCCCCTCAATGGGCGTGGCCAGACGTGCTCCCGCCCCCTGTGGACGCGCGCGCGCGGCGGCGCCAGGGCCCGGTGCGCAGCGCGACGGGCGAAACCACCGCGAGCGGCGCGGGGGGGGTGGGGGTGGTATCTCAGCCCACACGCAGCGAGGGTTCTGAGCGGTACCGCTGCGAGAAGGCTGAGGGTGGACGGAGAGAGCCGGGGGGAGGTTAAGGGAGAGAGGGGAGCGGAGCTGTCCCGGCATAGGGGCGGGTGGCGAACGGGGTTATCCCGGGAAGAGCCCGCTGCGTGCGGGGCGATTGGGGCTGCCCCGGGCGGTACCACTGCGGCGGGGGGGGCTGGGCTGGGAGAGCCCACTGAGGGCGGGGGGGCCGTTCCGGTGCCCGAGCGCGGCGGAGCTCGGCGGTGCCGGGATAGCGGGACAGCCGGGACCGCCGGGACCACCGGGGCAGCCGGGACCCTCGGGCCGATGCCGAGCAGCAGCTGACGGCGGCGGGCACGCGGAAATGGAGCGGCGGCCGGGCCGGGCCGTGCGGGCGCTGTGCGGCCTCTCCCTCGCCCTGCTGCTGCTGCTGCTGCCGCCGCATCCCGGCAGCGCCGAGCGGGCCCCCGGAGCGCACCTGGACGACACGGCCATCGCAGGTGAGACCCGCCGGGACACCCCCGGCACGGCCCCGCCCCAGCCCCGCTTTGGGGCCGTTCCGCGGGGATTTGGGCAAAACGCGCGCGGAGCCCCCGCTGGCCCCGGGCTGGGACCCGCCGGGCTCCGGCACCCAAACGCCCCGTGTTTGTTGTCGCGGCGGCTCCGGCTTTTGGGGCCGAAGGGTTTGCGTTCCGGCTCGCCCCGGGGCAGCCGCATCCCCGGGAGCGGCCGGTGGGCTTTGGGGGGGTTGTCGCTGTGTCACCTGTTCGCCCGCCGCGATGAGGGGCCGGCAGGGAGCCGGGGCCGCTCCGCAGTCCCGCGGGCTAGGCTGTGTTTAGGGACGTTCCCAGGTGTGGGACATTCCCGGGATCGTGTCCGCCCGCTCCGGGGACGGAGCGGTTCCCATCGGAGGAGCGCAGGTGGCAGAGCCCTGGCTCCCAGCTGGGCTGGGTCCCCCTCTTCTCATCCCCTCCGCCCCCAAAATCACCCCCAGCAGAAAAGGCAGAAGAGCGCAGCCCCTGGGGATTCTCCCCCCTGGAGCCGGGGACACCTCTGTGGGCTCCGTGTCCTTGTGACAGACCCCGAGGTCAGCGCTGGAGCCCGATCCATAAATCCTGCTGGGAACTTTGGGAGCGGGACGGGAGTCCCCGGGGGTCCTGCACCCCACTGAGCCGTGTCCCTGCCGGTGAGGGGGCCAGGAAGGGTTCTGCAGAGGGAGTCTGGGATGGGATTCAGCTCCCAGGAAGCCAAAACGCTGAGCACCACGTGCTGCTCAGCCCCCGGCAGGCTCCGAGCCCCCAGCGCCCGCATCCAGAGGATCCCACCTGGGCCTTTGGGCAGGAGAAAAGGTGCGGAGCGATTCCAGACCTTCGTTTTGGTGCTGTGTTGGGCCAGGGAGCAGCTCTCCAAGCTGGAGCTCAGGAAAGGATTTTGGGTGTAGGAACAGGTGCTTGGGTGTTGGGTGTTCGGATGGAAGACCCCGGGAAGAGTTTGGCTTTGTGAGCAAAGCTGGGCGGTGGGAACAGGGCAGGGAGCAGGCCCTGGAGCTGCGGTGCCAGCAGAAGGACCGGGGTCGGTGTGTGATCCCTGGGCAGGGGGATTGTTCTTGGATGGGCTCTGTGACTCCGCTCTCTGTCCCTGTGAGAAGGGGCTCCTCGTCCCCTCTCCGTGTGCTCCGAAATGCTCAGGCCAGTTCACATCCAGTCTGCTCCACTAAGGAAACTGGATCTCTGCAGTCCTCTCTGAGGCAAGGTTTGTGCCTCCAAGGAATTTCCAGCGGAGTTATTTTTGGAGGCCCTGCAGAAGTGTGGCAGCCCGGGTGATTCAGCTGCTGGCCCTGCTTTGGCTGCGAGCGGAGGCAGCGCCGGGCCGGGAACGGCCCCGGTCCAGGTCTCCAGTAAATCCCCCCGGGATGGGCTGTTCCCGCGGGACAGGTGCTTTTGGTCACTCCTGGTTTTCCCAGCCTTGCTCTGGTCGCTGCTGGGTCTCCTTCCACACCTTCAAGGCAGTAGTAACAGGTTTGGAACCCCAAATGCGCAGAGGAGGGGTGGGTTTGTGTCCCCTGCTCCGTGTCCCTTCCCGGGGCAGGTCCGAGGGGCTCCCACAGCTCCCTGTGTGCTCTGGGCTCTCCCGGCCGTTTGCTTTGGAGCTTTGGGAGCTGAGAGCAGGGACTGTGCTCGGCAGGCACAGCAGCCGCTTCCCCCGTGTTTTCTTTCCCTGGAAGCAGAACGTGCCGCCCGTGGCGGGTCCCGCCGGGCCGAGAGGCACGGGTGGGTGTTGGACGGCGTTTTGAAAGTGAAACTGCTCGTTTTTGACACATTTTTCTAAGGGGGCTGGTTTTATTCTTGAACCGGCGTGGCAGGATGGAAATGATAAAATAGCAGCAGCGGCTGCTTTTCCCTGGAAGCAGGGAAGCGTTTGTAGAGAGCAGGAGCCTGAGCTCCAGCGCTCCTGGGGCTGCCGAGATCCCCCTGCGGGCTCGGGGGATGCAGCAGCAGGTTTTGGGGAGGATTAGGGAGCAGATCCCGGTTCCTCAGATACTCTTTTTTTAAGCGGGAGTTTTTTGACACGGGCAGCGTTATCCGTGCAGGATAATCAGAGCTGGTGACTGAACCCCGGGGAAAATCAGATTTTTCTCCTGGCTTTGACTCACTCAGAGGCAAATCGAGGGCTTTAATCTTTCATCTCTAATCTTTTCCTGCCGAGATCAGGTTGAAGCTTGGTTCCACTCGGCGGCACAGGAGCCATTTCACAAGGCAGAGACGCTGAGACAGAGGAGGAGAGGGGGGTTGGAACCAAGAGCAGCCCAAAGGGCCTCTCCCAACAGGCAAGTTTTGCCCCAGTCCCAGGTTTGGGAAGCTCCCGGTGTCCCGGTGCTCTCACAGGATGTGTGACCGTCCCACACCTCATTGTTTTCACCCGCCCCTGGTTATTTTTAGCCCGAATTTGTCAGGCCACAGCCCAGCCCCGGGATCTTTTCACACCCCCTAAAAGGGGCGAACGAGGTTCCTCGGGGACAAACTGGACTTTCAGGGATCTTTTTTTCCCCTCTTTCCACTCACTGTAATGGGGCTGCTTCCCACACCAAGCAGGATTTGTTTATTTTTCTGGTCCTTATCAGAACGTCCTCGGGGGCCGTGTCAAACGCTTTGCACAAGTTTTAGGTGGGTTTGGGTCAAAAGTTTTAAATTCCCTCTCATTTAGGATATTAAGCTGCTCAGAGGCCTCTTCTTTGTTAAGTCACATCAGCTGGGACCAGTTCCAGGGATTTAAAAGATGGTTCTTGTTTTCCTTGTTTGCCCTCTGTGCAGCCCAGCACAGGTGGGCACCTTCAGGTTGGGATTCAGGTGTGTTTGTAGGAGATCCAAGGAAAACTGCCTGTGAAGGGGCAGGGATCTGAAGGACTGGAATTCACTCCTGGTTCCTTTAGTGGTGACGCCTTCCACCTACAGACAGATCCAGACCCACCTCCGTGCAATAATGTGGAAGTGGTGCCCTGAGCTTTATTTCACTTTCTATGGAATTCCTTCCTGTGGCCTTGCATCCATACGGATGAAAGGCTGTGTCTCCATGCTCTGCCTGTGCCAGGAGAGGTCTGGGGTCTCAGATCAGGGATCCTGGTGTGAATTTTCCCTCTCTGTCTCCTGCAAGTTAAGGGATGGGCTCTGGGCAGCGTGTTGGGATTGAGGCATTTTTGGGGAGACAGGGAGCTCGTGTGCCAGGCGCTGGTGGGGGCTGGACTCTCAGGGGCAGGGATAGGACAGGCTTTGGTGGCTCTTCCTTATGCCAAGCAGCTCTTCCTTCCCTTCCCTTCTCCTTCTCCCTGCCCTGTTTGCTGCTCCCCTGTGTTGATTCCTTGATCACATTTGCTCTTGTTCAAGTGGTTTAGAACACAGGTTATAAAAATATCCAGACTGTACCCAAAGAAAACCTGGAGGGCTGTGCCCAGGGTTATTTCTGGTTTTGCCTGGGGCACCTGCACTTAAACCCACAGACCATGCCATTGGACAGAGTCAGCACGAGGAGGGGAGGCTGCAACCACAGCCTTTGAACTGGCCATTGATTCCCAAGGGGGAAACACTCATTTCTGGGAGAGGACACTGCCCAGGCACTGTCTTGGAGCATCCCTGTCCTTGCCATCCCAGGACCCAGGGGTTTATTGGAAGCGAATCCTTTGCTGCTAAACCTTGGAAAGTGATGGGTTTGGACTCCTGGCAGGACTCCTGAGCAGGACGTGGCCTCAACAGAGCCTTTGGAAGCTCCACGATGCACCATCCTGCAGGGTGGGAACGGGGCTGGTTCTCCTTGATCTCCCAGTCTGAACGTTCCCGTCCCGGAGGGAGCGGAAGGTGACGCGGGTTCAGCTCTTTGGTGGTGCTGGTTTGCGTCACCCACCCCTGTGCCAGGATCCACGTCTGTGCCCTGTCCCTGTGCCAGAGCCGCTCACTCCGGCAGCGGCAGGGAGCGGGATGCTGCAGGAGCTGCCTCTGGGAAGGCAGGCAGGAGGTTGGATAAAGCCCACGGTGTCCATTGAGACGCCGCTGTCGGTGGGAGGTTGGACTCGACGCTCTCGAGGTCTCTTCCAGCCACCCGGTATTCCAGGATTCTGTGATCCGGCTGCTCTCTGAGCTCAGTCCCCTTGTGGTGCTGTGGGAGCAGGACCAGGACAGGATTGCATCCTGCTATTCCCCAGCCCCGGCAGGTGCATGGGCTGCCTTGTCCCAGCACACCCTCCCTGCAGTGACTCCTGCAGCGTGTCCTTCCCTTGGGGCTGGGGAGCTGGTGGGACACAACCTGCAGCTCTCCTTGCTTTGGTAGAACACTTCCCGAAGGAGCCTTTACCTCCAGGACTGGCGGGTTTTGCAGTTTAATTAAATCCTTTCAGGTGTGCACGTTCTCTGAGTAGGGCTCACACCTGTGAGCAGCAGCTTCAGGCTGGGCAAGGGAGGAAGAGCCGTTGTGAGAACTTGGAAAAGCCTGCCAGGAAACAGGCTGTGTTCTTCCCCTGCTCGGTTGGAAGCCACAGTGGATTGCACAGCCTTGGGAATGGAACTCATCTCGAGGAATTGCCGTTCTGAGAGGAGGAGAAACTGTGTTCTGGCAGCAAACCATGGCCTCGTGTGGAGGAGGAGGAGCGGGGCTGGCTGGGCAGCACTGGGAGTGCTGGGACCTCCTGCTCATTCCCTTCCCTGCTGGGCCCTGGAACCTGGAGCGATGCTCAGCTGGATCAGAGAGGGGATTTTAATTTAAAGTCTCGTTAGATTATTTATTTACTCTCTGCAAGCCCCCTGTGCTCCTCGGGTGGTCCTTTCCAATGGGAGCAGTGCAGGTGAAGCCGGAGGGAAATGGATCTTCTGCTCCAAACTGGGCCTTTCCCTCGGTGGGTGCACATACCCATGTGGGAAGTCCAAGGCAGCAATCCCCCTGGCTGTACTTTGCTCTCAGGAGGGGATGGAGCAGTAAATGTGTGATGTAGGAGCCTCCTGACATCCCTTAACCC